CTTTTACTTGAAATTCTTCACATTTCCTACAAAACAAAAAACAAAATATACATAAATATAAAAGAAAATTGAAAAACGTAATAAAATAAACATATATTGTAATATCCCAAAATTTTGGGGTATTTTAGCATTAAACTGGGGACTTATTTGAAGAAAAATATTGTTTTGGGGCTTAATCGTAGAATTTTAAAAAGTTGAGGGGCTAAAAAGAAAGGAAATTAGGATAAGGATCAGCTGATATTTTCATTCTTTTTCTTCCCAGCCATACACGTTTCTGCTCTGTTCTTCTTCTCGATTATTCCTCCCGACAAGCCCCCCCCCAAGCCACCGACTTTCTTTCCCCCTTGAAAAGCCGGTGAGATCTTGATGAAGTTCCTTCCTTTTCTTGTTAAATCACAAGATTTAGGACCTAGAATCTTCCCTCTCAACCCAGAAAAATCCCGGTTCTGCTCTGCTCCTCCCCTGCAGCCAACCGAAGCTCCCCAGCCACCGCCACCCATTTCCGGTCGGGAACACCGGCAAAGCTTGGGGATTCTCCCTATTTTCTTGTTCTAGAACACCTATTAAACCCAGAAAATCCCAGATCTGTGCTGTTCTTCCCCTTGCTGTCCGTCGGCTTCTGCTATATGTGATTTCTTGGCATTTTTCGGTAAGACACAGCCATAGACTTCACCTTTTCAACTTGAATTTGGCTGGGTTTACCTTAATTGCTTTTATTTCCCTCAATTTTGAGCTAGTCCGTGAGTTCCTCTGCAACTTGCCGCCGGCTTCTTCTCCCTGCTAGCTCCGGTTTTGCTTGTTAAATTCTGGTATGTGACAGCCCTCCAACCCCTAATTTGTCCGTTGATTTGCTGCCTTGAATCTTGAATTTTCTGCCTTTGATTTGCCCTTGTACTGTTCGGGAATTTCTGTTGAAATTGGGAATGAATTTTGGTAGCTTTAAGCTATGTTTTTAAGTGTGGCTTAAGTAGAAAATTAGCTTGATTTGGCCTGTTGTGATTTTTGGAGAAAACCCATGAGATTATTTTGGAGGATTGCAGTCACTGTTCACTGCGGATCACTGTTCTCGTGTACTGTTCATAGGCACTGTTCATATGCACTGTTCACCCACCGAGGGTCAATAATTAACGGGGATTTAAAGGTTTAGTTTGTGATATAAGAATGAATTTGGAGATGTCCGATTATGGGGAAATTGATGGAAATAGCACTGTGATTAGGGGTAGTGTTGATGATGATTTCAGTTTGAATTTATGGTAGTGCGATATTAATTCGTGGAATATTGTGATTAGGTTTTGATCGTTCTGTCACCATAGCACTGGGTTAAGCCTTCTGTTCTGTGCGAGTGAGGTAAGTAAATTATGGTAAAGCCCTTCGATTTCAAAGCATGTTTTAATTGTTTTTGAGATGGTGGCAAG